AACTCATATTGATGGTCCTGTCTCAGCCTCCCCAGCGCTGGGATTATAGGCCTGGGCCACCACATCCAGTTTTGGTAGCTGGTACAGTTCTGGGGCAGAGATGGCTTGTGGTATTGGGAATCAAAAGGGGTCCTTGCACTTGCCAGGCAGGTGCTTAGATCGCCAAACTATATCTCCAACCCTGTCCAACTGTTTCCCTTATGCCACAGTTATCATTCGATTTCTCTGAATTTTAGAGAGCATTTGCATAGTAGAATTTCCCTTGACATATCTGTAAATCATTGGATCATATCAGCAATGTCCTTCAGGAATTTTATAACTTAAAACATCATAGTGTGTAAATAATAATTAAACATGCATTAGATTGTACATGTGCATTGCTTCACATGTTAAGGTAAGTACCTTGTTTAATTTAAAATTCCCAACCAGATAAAACCTGAGGTAATGAAGATATGACTATTACATTGGCTCTACTTTAAATAATTCATCCAGAAATAGTTTTTTGACTAAAACATAATTATCCTCACATTTTTTGTAATGATAATTAAGTCATTAGTGAGGAAAAAGGACAAGCCTAATCACATTTATGTTTGCTTTCTACTCAGTGGAGAATAGCTCAGCCTATCTGCCTGTCTGTCTGTCTGTCTGTCTGTCTGCCTGTCTATCACCTATCTATCGCCTATCTTGTACAGTAAATAAAGTATAGTATGTTCATTAAACATACTGCCTTTACTTAAAAATTCAATTGCTAGTCACTCTAGAATGAATAAAGAAACACAATTACTATTACATACAATTCTGATTGTTGCCTCTGAAACATTAAATTTTATACTTTTATTTATTGTGATTATCTCACTATATTGTCATGGTGATAAAATAGCATGAAGGTACTTCAAACTACACAGAATTCATGAAGTGTTGTGTAGACTCAATGTTCTTGTAAAACCAGTATGTGTAAGAGCAACTCCAATCTGGCTTTTCAATTGTATTTATAAACAACAATCAACATATGACCTAATCGGCAAGAATAAGTGGCATCAAAATACTTAGAAGAACTTAGGTTTGTTTTATAAGATGTCCTTTGTGTGCAGCCAAATAAGACTAACACAGTCTAAGAGTTCTAAGTGCTTAGAGTGAATGGTTGCTAAATTGGGACTTCCCAGAACATAAACCTCAAGTCTCTTGTGATCTTCTGTACAGCTGCTGAGCATGGTATACTTTACATAAGATAGAAAAACCATGGACTTGGAAGGTGAATCTAGGAGTGATTTCTCTGAATACGTTCACTCAGTCTCTGATTTCAATGTGTACCTCAACATCACAATGATACACAGAAGAACTTTGAGTACTCTTGCTTTCCCTCTCAAAACCTGGGCAGATCTGATCATTCCTTCTCCAGGCCTAGCCCTGCTGTTCAAATCCCAGGACAGAGAATTTAGCTTTATGCATTGTCAGGTACGGTATCATTATATTACAATCTGCATTTAAAGACAACTCACCAGAAGGAAAGTATGTTTTGCTTGTTGGGCAACCTGAGTTCACAATTAAGAATATCAAGAGAAAGTTATTTTTCAAGGTAAGCCAAAATCTAAGGGTTGAATGATTGTCTCACATCAGTTATTTATCAAAGATACAAATTGCCTCTTAGCAGAATATTTATTTTAATGATGTGATTGGCAATTAACTTTGCTCTGTCAGAGGAAACATTATTTAATAAATTGCAAGGCCGGGGAGATGGCTCAGTGGAATAAGCGCTTCCTGGCAAGTGCAAGGGCCTGAGTTCAATCCCTTGTTCCGCAAAAAATAAATAAATAAATAAATAAAATAAAATAAATTACAGAATACTGTTCATTCAAAGAACTATATAGCATATATTACCTTTTAAAAATAAAAGTCTAAATTAGAAGTACTTTGAAAATAGCATGTTTATCTTTAAGTTGATATATAACTATGTGGAATTTTTTGAGCAAGATCGTGGCTGTAAATCATAGTCCTGTGTTTAGAAGGGTATGGTTCTAAACTTCTTTCATATGCTCGATTTGTCCGCTTTCTTATAATAGGAAACGAGGTTATGTGGCTCATGGTTTCAGGGTCTTCAGCCCATAATTTTCCTGCACCAAGTCAGAAACATTCATGACAGAAGACTGTGACAGAGCAAAGGGTCTGTTCGTGGCAGTCACCAAGCAGCAGACAGGCCAAAACCTTTAAAGAGGAAGGGAAGAGGAGGGACTAGATGTCTTATCCAAGAGCGTACTTCCGCCAGTCACCCCGCCCCGCAGAAGTCCACGTTACTAAGCATCTTCACTAGCCTGCTGCGGTGAGCATCAGCACTGCCACGCGTGCTTTCATCTGTCTCTAGTTTCGCTGCTTTTGGACATATTAACAGAAGAAGTTTATACTCAGAAGTAGTGGAAGGCACTCTTCACTTGGATTCTCAAGTTGACTTTAAGAGGATATTAAATTGATATCTGTTGAGCAAGAGGGATTGTGGTGTCTGGAATAAGGTGTATAAAGAACTTTAAAAAAAAAAGAACAAAGTATAGAATGAAATGGTTCTAAAGTTATTAGAAACTTTGGAAAAAAGAAAATGTGCTCATCATTCCTGCCACTGAATTCTACTGTCATGCACCCAAATGCACTGGATTGTGCCCAAGAAAATAACTTTTCTATTTTCTATCCTTCATAATAATAAGATTCAATGAAAAGCCCACTCCTAATAATTGCCTATTCATACCTTTAATGCAATGTAGAATTGTCTTCCTCAAGACTTTATGCTATCTGATTACTAATAGGAATGTACCAAGAATTATAAAATGCCTCACTTATTACAATAAGAATTTCAAATACATTCACAGCTCAAGAGTACAGATTGAAACTTTAAGGTATAAATTTCTGGAGCTGTTACTGCTAGAAAATCAGCATAGCAAGTTTAGAAGCAGGGCTTGAACTCAGGCCCTTGCACTGGCCAGGCAAGCACTTACT